TCTTTTATCTTTTTAGATTTTAGAATCGGCATAGCCCAGATGAGTCAGGATTTTTCGTTATTTTAGTATCAAAATTTATACTCGTGGAATTTATCCTGTCATTACGGACGTAATCATTAGCGATTGTTTAACGTTTAAATTTTGCTGTTTAGTTGCTAGTGTATTTAGAAATTTTATTATTAGGTTTTTATGTGTGCATAAATATTGCAGTTGGAAGTTTAGTGCTCGGTAAAAATCATAGAGCAACTATCCCTCTTAGTGTGCCTTTGTGCATTTAAATCAGTCATAAAGGGAAAATAAGAAAAAGTTTTTTTTTATTAAATTAAATTATTAATATATATGATACCAAAGATAATATTCTATTTTTTAACTATTTTTTAAAGTATACTAAATATTTTTCTAAAGATGCGTATTACAATTTAGAGATATTATATGAGTCTAGTAATATATCTCAAGATTTTAAGCTTGCCTCTGTTGAAATTGAGAACGTTGTGTTATGAGCGTTACATTGAAATTGTAAGTATGATTAAATATGATTTATGAAATATTAACTTAAACAATTAGTTTATATCTATTATCTGTTTTAGTAATTATATAATGATAAAATGAATCAAATGCGCAGATAGACACACAAATGAAGGGCATATTAATAGGGCCATCGCTCCTTGGAGGAGCACAAAAACATTTTTTTTATTTCTGTTTTTATCGAAACTATTATAAAATATTAACATTTTCTCTAGATTAAAAAAATATTATAAGAAAAAAAAATAGTTGAAAAACCTATGATTTCACACAAATAGACAAAATCAAAGCTACAATATTTAATGATAAATAATTAGCAAGTTGATTTAAACTATTTAAAGGCACACTAATCAGAACAGTAAGCCTACGTTAAAGTTTCATTGGAAAGGAGAATTTTTATGATTTTCCGCCGCGGCGCACGCGTTATGTTCTCGTCTGCATCGAGACGAGTATTGGTAATGCGAATAGCCGGTGTACTTTGGAACGTCGCGAGGACGATGTCGCCGGCAGCTAGTTTTTGGACCGATGCCTGATCAGCGACTTTCGGACAATCCGAAGACTTCGACCGGCCGGCTACCGAATGACGTATATATGTATTTTCGACTCGGCATCTCCTTGCCTCGCGCCTCTCTCGCACACCACCGTTCAATTTTACCCCTCTGGACCGATATCGACAGACGTTGACCTTTCAAGAATAAAAAAGAAAGAAAAAGAAAGAAGGAGAAAGAAATCATAAAGCAAATTCCTTTCTTTTAATTATAATCAATAAACAATTAAAATGAAAAGGTTAAAATTTATGAATTATTTGATTCATGAATTATTTGATCCATGTAAGCAGAGAGGTGGCAAGCAAGAAAATTTATTAAATTATTTGATATGTGAGTATATGAAATGTAATTTAAAACACTATGGTTAAAGTATCACATATCAGAAAAGATACGATAAGTACATTTTTGAAGTTGAGCCGAAGTAAAATAACTCTAAATATATCAAATTCCAAGAAACGAATTTCAAATTACTACGTCATAATAGGATCTCGTGCGATCTTTAAATACTTACATGACAAAACGATTTCATTTTCAAACTCGCGTTTACGCGAGGAGAATCGGAAAAGTGGATGACGCGGGCGAG